ATGATGGTGAAAGGCGACAAGGTGCTGACTCCAAAAGAGTCAGTAGANAAAGCCTTCTCATAATCCACGAATGCTAAACACAGGGGCCGATTATATTCTGTGGTCTTTTCTATAATCTGCCGCACTGTGTGTATGTGGTCTATGGTTCCATAGCCGCTCCGAAACCCAGCCTGCTCTGGGGGCTGAAATTCGTCGAACCTTCTTGCCAGGCGATTTGTGATGACTCGTGAGAACAACTTATAGATGTCTATGGGCTCCGGTAACTACTTAACAGCAGGTGGGCTGTGAGCTCGTCCACCCATCCAAGCAATAAAAAATAAATAAATAAAACACAACAATTTTCATACTTAAAGACGAGAATGCTTTAAGTGGTTTGAAGTAATTATTTCCGTCACTATCTCCTAGTGATTTGTAAAAATGTATCATTCTCTGGCAGACTATTAGAGGCTTTGTACTGGTGTTTCCAGGTCTCGTATGTCTTCGTCATCCTTTATAAGCGAAAATCTAGATGAGGTCATTGAACGAAGAATGTTACGCTTTGTAAATAAGGCTGTATTTCGTTTGGCATGAATATAATTAGCGTTTCGATTTCTCAAATGGTTCAAACGTACGTTGTGTGTATCTAATAATAAATAAATTGGTTGATTTGTCCCTAATTGACTAAAACTGCTATTAGGATGTGAGCCAATTTGCCCTCATGTCGCTTTTTCGCATTAAAAGTGTACAATTTCCAAAAATATTCGAAATTGAGTTAATATGCGGAAACATTCGGTATCACCAGTATTTATCTCATAAATACTGTCAAAAGAGCGTAGTTTAGTTTTAGTTTTTATTTATTAGTTTACCTATGTTTTGACTACCATTAACAAAATTAATACATAATTTTATCTTACTTTAAAAGACAGATAATGTAACTAGTAAAAAATGAAAAAATAAATGTTGTAAAGATGATTAATATTAAGAATATTTTATTTATTTATTTATTACACTTCATGTAAAATTTACACTGGCGGACTCAATCCCTAAGGCATTCTCTACCAGTCAACCAAAGGCAGTGCAGAGTAAATAGTGGTAAGTGCAATGAAATTTATATTTTGTTACAAATACATTCACAAAAAAGTATATACATACATATACATATACATAGATACATATCTACATACATACATATAATAGTTTATACAGTATTAAAAGGAATATATTAATAAATTTCCTTAACAAATAACTTCATATCGACGCTTGAAAGGCAAACGTGACTGAGCGACAATAACTGCTTTGTACATAAATGATAGGCAATAACCATATTCGATGCACAAAAAAAATATATTTCTAGGTCTATTAAAATCATTCCAATCCTACAGCTACTAGCTAGATTCTACTTACTACAGCTAGATTCGTTAAAATAAATTTTGTTTTCAGGCATTTCAACTTTAAATTAGTCTACTGTAAAGTTCAGGCATTGTCGCATAGTCACTTTTGCCTTTCAAGCGTCGATATAAGTTCATGATCTTCATCAAATGTTAAACCTTTAAAACACTCTCCTGTAAGATTAGTACGTTTTGAGATTATACAGTTTGATTGCGGGAAGACGATATGGCTGAACAATTGCATTGCATCTTCAGACTTTATTTCGCGTCGTTGTTTAGCCTTCAAACAATTATTAATTTGCCGGATATTACAAAACGGGACACGTATTGTTGCCGGCTCGCGTCACGTCAAACGGTAATTCTATTACTTTGTCTCTTTGCACGTCACATTAACCCACGCACGAGCCGCTAACTCTATTCAGCCACCGCTGCGTGAGCTAGAAGCGCTCAGCATTGTTAATACATAATATCTGTCCTCATTAAGCGTTAGCTTTTAGACAAATAAATACGATCCTTAATTCTGATATTGTACTTTAAAAAATACCGGACCCAATAACGCGAATGTTGCGAGCAACTTTGAGAATTAAACATTAATTTCATATTTCGCACTGAAATGCATTTTACACAATAGATAGACCCAATAGGTGGGCTTACAGGTTTACTGGTGGTAGGACCTCTTGTGAGTCCGCACGGGTAGGTACAACCACCTCGCCTATTTCTGCCGTGAAGCAGTAATGCGTTTTGGTTTGAAGGGTGAGGCAGCCGTTGTAACTATACTGAGACCTTAGAACTTATATCTCAAGGTGGGTGGTGCATTTACGTTGTAGATGTCTATGGGCTCCGGTAACCACTTAACACCAGGTGGGCTGTGTCCACCCATCTAAGCTAAGCAAAAAAGAAGAAAAAAAGTTGAAAAAGGTGTGATCATATAGCCAATTTTATTTACTAGTAGTAGGACTTATTCTGAGCCCACATAAATAGCTCAGTATATTTCTGCCGCAAATCCGTCATCCGTCGGTTTGAAGCATCCAACAAATACGATAACTCAGAGTTGATATCACAAGGCGGGTGGTAGCGTTCACGTTGGGATATCTACAGGCTTCACAACCACTAACAGCAGTCGGGACGTAAGATTCAACAACCTAGTACAATAAAAGGCATCGAAAGATAAGCATAAGAATTTTAAAGTTTCAACTTTAATCAATGCAAAACACAAAGAGACGGTGAAAAGCTGAAGTCGACTTTGGAAGCTTAGTTGAGATTAAAAGGAGAAAAACTCAACAATTACCATTCGTTAAAGCGCCCTAACTGTTTATTTGTCTGTTCTATACGCGTGCCTAAGCTGCCGTTTTTGTTGAAATTTACAGGTACAGTTATTTTTGACATATAGGGAAGGTTTCTGCTATGAATAAATAAATAATTGGGAAATAAACACACACGACCACCTGGCCCCAAATTAGGGTTCCCTGTGCTACGGCTACCAGAAAACATATTATGGTTGCTAAGCAGTTTGGTATTTTTAAGTAGATAACACAAATAGATTTCTAAGCTCGATAAAAATCAATGTGGCAGTCAAACTCGATTAATTCCTAGTGACCTGTATTCAATAATGACACGTGTATTATTAGAACAGACTGTATGACCTCATTCTGGTAGTTAAGAATAGGAGTCGATATTTCTACGAAGCCACATTCTGTTCTCTATTTTCAGTCGTTATAACAAAAACTTTTCCACCGTTTGAACAAGACTGCATGAATGCTTTATAGTCTAAAAACAGGTGCAGTTAACTTCCCATGCTACCAAAAAAGAACGCGTACTATTTTCATCACATTTTATTTATTTATTGCCCTTGTAGGCAGACGAGCATACGGCCCATCTGATGGTGAGTGGTTACCGTCGCCCATGGACTTCAGCAATGCCAGGAGCAGAACCAAGCCGCTGCCTACCGTAGACACAAATACAACATATAGACAAATTATTAAAACATGATTTTTCTTTTATAGGACGTGGATATGCTATTTGTATTTTTTTATATTTTTTTTAGATAAACAAAAAAATATTTAATTTTTCGGAACACAACCCTACATCATTCTCTAATCGTAGACAGACATTGTTTTATAAAAATCAATTCGGTTAATTATTTAATCACATACTAATAAACCAACAAACAAGCTTTTACATTTTTAATTATTATGGTCGAAAGGGCCTTAAAGAAAATAGGCGGTGATGTGAGGGGAGAGTGCTCTAAGCAGACTTGGGTGAGCTTATTACTGGTGGTTGGACCTCTTGTGAGTCCGCGCAGTTAAGTACCACCACCTTGCCTATTTCTGCCGTGAAGCAGTAACGCGTTTCGGTTTGAAGGGTGGGGCAGCCGTTGTAACTATACTTGAGACCTTAGAACCTATATCTCTAGATGGGTGGCGCATTTACGCTGTAGATGTCTATAGGCTCCAGTAACTACTTAACACTAGGTGGGCAGTGAGCTCGTCCATCCATCTAAGCAATAAATAAAATAAAGAACTGTGTGAAAGAGGATATGCGCGGGAAAGGTGTGAGTGCAGAGATTACGTATGATGATAGGATTGAAAACAGAGGACATGCAGGGTCTACCTCACATGGTGGAATAAGGTTAAGAAAAAAATCTTAAAATAGAAATACAAAAACGTCTTTAGAACTATATAAAATAATGTTTACTTTACAGTAGTATTTTATTTATTTTTTTATTGCTTAGACGGGTGGACGAGCTCACAGCCCACCTGGTGTTAAGTGGTTACTGGAGCCCATAGACATCTACAACGTAAATGTGCCACCCACCTTAAGGTATAAGTTCTAAGATCTCAGTATAGTTAATTACACCGGCCGCCCCACCCTTCAGACCGAAACGCATTACTGCTTTACAGCAGAAATAGGCAGGATGGTGGTACTTACCCGTGCGGACTCACAAGAGGCCCTACCACCAGTTTTTCATTATTATGAAAAGTTGTTTGGAATTAATTGTAAATAAAAAAAATACCCTGAGAAATTCGTTTTTTTATCTCAAATGTTTGTTCAAAGCTCTCCGTGCTTAAACAAACAAGATCGAAACTCTAAATTGTTTTAATCAAACATAATGCGTCGTTATTTAGGTGTAGCATTGTTCTAAGCGCATTATCCCGGCTCGGATATTATTCTAAAATGAAATTAATATTTCAAGCGAAAAGTGATTCATGGAGTGTTAATAAAGACGAGCAAATATAAAAAATGGCTGGCACACCCCCCGGGGTCGTTCACGGAGCTTATTTCATGGGGGATGCTCCACTAAGATCTTACTTTCAGATATTTTTAAATCGAATTCAAAAAGAACTATGGTTCCCACTAAAGGAACTTACTGGAGCGTAGAAAAAATTCTTTAACTATTAACTATTTTAAATGGAAATAATTAAATCGTTTGACTCGATTATTCATGATTTAATTATTCGATAATAATTTTAGTTTCATTATAATTAAATATAAATATATTCCCGACTAAATGTGGACTGTTTACATTAAATCGATTATATTACGACGTGTGAAATTACAGAAAATAACATTTTAAAGAATCAATAACACGCCGACTTGTAACAGTAACGCGCTCAATTCAGTTCACTGGGCGACGTAGCCGGGTGCGGTCGTCTACGGTGCTACGACAGAGCTACGGGAGTGCTACGTACGTCGGTCTAGCAAGAAAATGTGACAAGTACAATTTGTGGCGGACAGATTCTTTCGATTTATTTTTTTCCTTGTGCGTGTGAATTGTGGTATAATGTGGGCTTCTCTGCTGATTTTCGCTCTGTTCAACACGGCTGCCGGCAATCCGGGAAAAATGGGTATGTATTAATAATTTACTATCGAATAGGATTCCTAATTGTGAATTGGCAGGTTGATTGATAGGATAAAGTGCTGATGAGATAAGGGTCAAGAGACGAATTAGACATGTTTACTGAGCCGTTGAATACTAAGCTAAAATCAACCATATTTTAAGGGAAGTATTCATTCCATAGTAAAAATAAAATTTCATACCATTGTTTTTTATCATCCATATCGTAGTCGTAATTTAGGAACCTTACAAGTAAAAATATAAGAAGCGTTTAAATACATACTAAGCATTACCATTTTTTTCAAAGTCTTCTGTTAACAAATACGGGTTCATTGATGAATTAAGTAATAAATTCAAAGATGTACATACAGTTCTCGCTTATGTTTGAGTTGCGAATTTTATTTGGAACTATTCATATTTTCCGATGACTGTTTTTGTAATTGAAAACGACTAATAGGTTTTTTTTAATAATAAAAGTAATATTGTGTTGATCCGGTACCGTCCTATGCAATTCAAACATTGACCACGTTCATTCATTTATTATTCGACTTCAAAATTAGAGGCGAACATAGTATTAATATTTTGATTTATTTATATTCTTCCAGTTATTTAATACCTGTTGGTTCTGACATGTTCACTCAAACTAATTAAAATTAATCGATAAATCGAAATAGGGCTTAAGAATTTTGATACGTAATAATTTTTAATATTATTATGTTCTTTACGTCTGTTTTTTACGCTACTGGTATATTCACTTAAATTTACAATAAATATTACTTTATAATATAAATATAACTAATTTTCACTTTACTAGTAATATGAATTACTAGCCGTACTCGCCCGCTTCGCTGCGCATTTAAAATTAACATTGTTATTTATTGTCATTATTATTAGGGAGTCCAACACTCATATATATATTAGCCTATCCATTAAGTACATGTATTTTCTACATGGATACCAAGTTTCAAGTCAATCGGATGCATAGTTCAGTAGTTATAACGGAATATCCGGAAAAAATACTATATAGAAATAGAATAGACATCACTATTTTCTAATTCTGCCGCGAACCAGTCACATTATTTGGTTTCAAGGCTGAAACAGCCGACAACAATATTGAGACCTAATGTCTCGAGGTGGGTGGCGGCATTAATACTGTAATATCTATGGACTCCATTAACTACTTAACACCCGATAAGTTGTAAACACGTTCGCTCGTCCAAACAATAAAATAAAAATACGAAGCTTTGTTTAACTTACCATGGACGGCCCGCCGCACCAACATATCTATTCTCAGGCAGTTAAAAATAGAAAAGATTCAACGTCTATCCACAATCTGCCTACAAAGAATATTGCGGTCTTTGGTCATGTTGCACGTAGGGATACCAGCAATTTGGACGCCTTATGGTGACCGGTAAAATAGAGGGAAAAAAGCCTAGGGGTAGAGGTCCCAAACGATGGTCGGACCAAATAGCGGAGGAACTGGGGATACCTATCAGCGACGCACTCCACCGGGCTGCAGGGCGGGATCGATGGAGACCAGCTGGTTGACGAAATCGGACGGAGTCACGATCCTCAGCAGTGAGGGACCGATCGAAGAGAGAGAGAGTTTAACTTACATACATACATACAAGTCAAATTTTGTTTTAATTAAATATTACAACGCCGCTTATACAAGTTTAGTTAGAATCGTTCTTGAATTTGAAAACAGTTGATCGAGTTGAAGAAGACATCACTGAAATATAAAGTTTCGAAACTTTGGATTGTACAGTTGTGTTGTAGGCAGCGGCTTGGCTCTGCCCCTGGCATTGCTGAAGTCCATGGGCGACGGTAACCACTCACCATTCGGTGGGTAATATGCTCGTTTGCCTACAAGGGCAATAAAAAAAATATGTTATATTTTTTATATTGCGCCGCGTTTTAATTCGTTCAATCAAAAAACAATTGACGCGCGGAATCTAAGTCCTAGAAGAAACGCAAAGAGGCCACTGTCACCTATTTCATTACTTTTTTTTATTTTTTATTGCTTAGATGTGTGGACGAGCTCACAGCCCACCTGGTGTTAAGTGGTTACTGGAGCCCATAGACATCTACACACACCTTGAGATATAAGTTCTAAGGTCTCAGTATAGTTACAACGGCTGCCCCACCCTTCAAACCGAAACGCATTACTACTTCACGGCAGAAATAGGCGGGGTGGTGGTATCTACCCGTGCGGACTCATAAGAGGTTCTACCACCAGTAATAGATATATATTTATAAGATAAAAAACTTAAATAGAAAGTATATTACAATTAGCTTTACTGATAGGTACCACCACCCTGCCTATTTCTGCCGTGAAGCAGTAATGCGTTTCAGTTTGAAGGGTGAGACAGCCGTAGTAACTATACTGAGTCCTTAGAACTTATACCTCAAGGTGGGTGACGGATTTACGTTGTAGATATCTATGGACTCCAATAACCACCAGATGGGCTGTGAGCTCGTCCACCCATCCAAAAAATAAAAAAAAAAAAATTAAAATAAGTAAAATATATTAAACGAATTTGAGAGTTAAATTAAATTTACCAATAAAGTCACCTCGATATAATGTAACTTCGAACAAAAAATAGGTACATTTAAAAATCAGTCCACAGATGACGGAAAAATCAGTGGAACATAGATTAAAAAATACACAGTCGACGTTAGGAATTTCTATCGTTTTTGATGTCGGCTCAAAACTACATACATTCATACATACAGTGAAGTGAATATTGATTTTTATTTACCTTAAACTAATATTATAATCTGTATATAAAACTCCAGGACTCAAATAATGAAACACCTGGAACATTTCTATCGACTAACGTGACTGTATTGAAGATCAAATCCTTCCTACAGGGACATGCCAAGTTTTTTTAAAATTTTTTATTGCTTAGATGGTTGGACGAGCTCACAGCCGACCTGGTGTTAAGTGGTCACTGGAGCCCATAGACATCTACAACGTAAATGCGCCACCCACCTTGAGATATAAGTTCTAAGATCTCAGTATAGTTACAACGGCTGCCCTACCCTTCAAACCGAAACGCATTACTGCTTCAAGGCAGAAACAGGCAGGGTGGTGGTACCTAACCGCGCGGACTCACAAGTGGTCCTACCACCAGTAAAAAATTCTTTGACTTCTTATAAAAATAGCGTTCTGTACTACTCTGATCTATGAGTACGCACGGGAATAATCAACGCTCTTACACATTCTAAGAAGCAGTCATACGTTCCGGCTTTCAGGTCTCAGACATTTGCCATACAATTGAGCCGTCGAACTCATGTCTCAAGACGGCTTTACTTACTTCGTCATTTATTTATTTATTTTATTTAATCATACTCAACTCTGTTAGAATAAACAAAAATCCCCTTAACACGTAGAATCGCAGCAATTACACTTCGAAACTACAGCTCGTTTGATACGGAAAAGCTCAAAGCACAAAGTTACAGACCGCTATAAATTCAAGCCTAACAATAAACGCGCTAACTCGACACCAGTTAAGCGTAAATCAAGAACGATGTTATATCGTTCCAACAATGTTTCGTAACGTAAGCACGTAGTTTCAAACATAATAAACTCAGGGGGCTTCGCACACAATTTGTAATTCAAAAATAAAGAAACAGATTGTATTTTTAGGTAAACGAAATAATGTGGAGTTGAAGGACCAAAAGATGGAGCCTTCTCCTGTGTTACTTCATTATTATTTCACTGATGGGTAGGCAAATTTATGGACAATCAGATATTGAATGGTTAATGGAGCCCACATACTGGTCACATTACTGGTGGTAGGACCTCTTGTGAGTCCGCACGGGTAGTTACCACCAACCTGCCTATTGCTGCAGTGAAGCAGTAATGCGTTTCGGCTTGGAGGGTGGGGCAGCCGTTGTAACTATACTGAGACTTTAGAAAAGATCTCAAGGTGGGTGGCGCATTTACGTTGTAGATATCTATGGGCTCCGGGAACCACTTAACACCAGGTAGGCTGTGAGCTCGTTCATCAATCTAAGCAATAAAAAAAAACATAGCTTGGAGGCATCACAACGCCCAACCCATCCAAACAACAGATCAAGGTCTCTATTGTGTAATGACTATCCCGCTTTCCAATTCAGAACTCATGACAGCTTCGCAGCTTAAAAAAGCAATGTTGTTAGGCGACTAACGTAAAAGCTTACCATCTGTATTTGTAAAAGTTATTCGCTTATAAACGATTACACGAACCGGAAACACGCGTCATAAAACGATGTATAACAAGACACCAGATGCCAAATTTCTATTAAAACAGTACCTGTGGTGCCAATAGAGATATCACTAAGTACTTAACCCGGTACTTCTTTCTGTATCACGGACGTGTTTTGTAAAAGCGTAATTCTTCTAAGAACCCATTAACCACTGAATAGAGCAATCGAAATCAAACTTTGTAACACTCGCGTATATAAATGATATCTATAAAAATCAGCAGCACCGTAGAATACGACTATATCCATAATGTGCAATATATTATAATTTGAAATAAAATCTTTAATTTTCAATTCAATGATATCCGACCTTTTGTCTTTAATACTGCGAAATGTACGCTTAAAGACTTTCCCGATTTTCTCGTGAAAATTTCTTTTACCAGCGAATAGACCGCAACTGTAACATTTCAAATGGAAATGCCAATGTAGTGAGGGGCTTGAAACATGTCTGTAATTGAATTCAACCCTTTTTACCAATAAATTTCACTTTGTTTTCTAAAACGGAACATGTTACATTGAATTGGATTTTATTAATCGACTCCAAAACAAGAGAAGGTACTGTATTCGAATGTATGTATATTTATACATTTTCACCAATGTCTCGTTATGAAAGTTTTGCAACATTCACAATCAAAATTCCTGTTAATAGCGTAAGTATAAGTAGAAGAAGTAGTAGAAGCATAAGTAGGCAGCGGCTTGGCTCTGCCCCTGGCATTGCTGAAGTCCATGGGCGACGGTAACCACTCACCATCAGGTGGG